TTGTATTTTATCTGGATTTCATATTTATTTGTGGCTTTATGGTAACTGTTATAATAAAGTTGGAAGTAATGTAAAGGAAACAGTTCTAAATCTGGTAGGTGTGAGAAGGGGGTTGCCCTTGTTTTCTTCTATGAAGACTGCAGTTCAACATCTTCCATGGTCAGACTCTTTTTCAGCTGAAAAAGCCAGCTTTGATGGCTGTGGGAATACCATTGGGAAATACTGAGCATTTAACTAGAATGATTTCCCAAATCTGTCTTTTATAAATTGAAGCCATGAAAAGTATTATAAGAAACAGTACTGTGGATCAGTAGCGCGATGTACGTGATGTACATGTAAACAATAGATTGCAGCCTCAGACACATTTCAATATGCACATTTTTGTATTTTATATATACAAAAACTTTAGCTTCATGTACAATAAAGGTTAACACTTTTTAGTCCAGCACTGTATTTCTTTAGTATCTGAAGCAGTAACTACAGTTCTGTGATATGATCAGATGTGTTCATGCCCAGAATTTATGTTGGATGGGATCCAAAGAGCTGTTTGTGAATCTCCTCTTCTCACTGCAGCCCTTTTTTCCTGCCCTGCCTCCCCAAACATGCAAAAAAACAACAACCCCTCTCCAGAAAGTCAGGCTACCCTTTGGAGATACCTCGGACAAAGTGCAAGGAGTTAAAAACAGAAATGGATAGCAGTAGAGCCCCAATGCATGATGAAGTGCTTGGGTACCGCTAACATGCACTGTTCTCTTTGGATGCTGGCTGTTGTGCTTGTTGCTTTCTCAATATGATAACTCAGTTGCTTCTTTTTACATTGGAAATCTGTGTTGTGTTTTTCTTTTTTTCTTTTTCAGGCTTTGAATTATATTCCATGGTGCCTTCTATCTGCCCTCTAGAAACTCTCCATAATTCGTTGTCGTTAAAGCAGGTGGATGACTTCCTAGCCTCCATTGCCACTTCTACTTCATGTGACAATCTTGTCCAGATATCCACAGCTTCCTTTTGTAATTACTTCCATATTTTCTGCTTTTCAAACTGCAAAAAACAGCTCAGCATAGGCAATCTATTAAAATAGAAGTTGTGTTTTCTGGTGTATGACTTGTAAATAGTCTCAAATTTAATCAAATAAGTATCTCCTTGTTTTTACATGAAGAAGCATATTACTGCCTTCACCCACACCGCCACAGCCTTTTTGGTTGTACTTAAAGTAAAGAAAATACAATTGAACTTTTGTTGGTTGCATGTTATGATTAGAAGACCTTGTTTGTCTTGCATGCTGTGCAGAATATCTTTATAGTAACTAGGCTCATTTACACAATGGTTATGATCCACAGGAACATATCCAGCAAAGCTTTTATACTCTGTCCCATCCATCTCTGTGCTGCAAGGTTTATTTTAAACCCAGAAAATCTTTGGATGCAGTTAGGGAAGGCAAGGGGGTAATGAAATCTTTGTTATGCACATAACTCTTCCATGTATCTAAAGCAGATTATTGGGCCTTGGGCATAATGACACCTATAACCAGACCAATCTATTGTTTCATTTGGAATGTTGGCTTCCAGATTTTTTGTCAGTGACTGAAGGTTAATGTTTGCCATATGTATGAATACCAACTTCAGTCTAGTGACATAACTTGTAGGCTGTTATAGATGGGTTTCTTGAAAGGCAAATGATGACTTTTTAAACCCATTCTAAAGGAACATTAACAGCAATCCTAAAATTAATGTTGATAAATAGTAATATTGGGACAGAATACATTCATGCTATCATTCATTCTTTATAGTGTGCACACATTCTTAAAACAAATGTTAATACTGGTGTCAACAAAGTAATATTGCTTGCATTATTGTATCTGGATTGTTTAAAAAATAGTGTAGAGATATGTGACAGAGAAAGAGAGAACAACTTTGTTTAAAAATTGTTTTATCTTTTTAGCTTCTCCATCATTTTTGAATGCCATATCGGGAAGAAAAAGTTCTTTAAATATGTACACACCTACTAAAATCCAGCCAACGCCGCTTGAAGATTTTATGGATCAGCAAACTGCGGAGATACCTTCCTCGAGTAAGTAATGTTTGGATTTGAATCCACATCACTAGCATGTTTAATAAAACAACCAGATCAAGTGATGATATAGTTCCTTGGGAGATTTGTGGTACAATATTAATGTATTTATTTTCAAAATTTATACTCTGCTTTTCTAGCCTGCTCAGGACCACCCAAGGCATATAATAGACTAAAAACATACATAGTAAAAACACATCTTAAAAATAATTAAAACCCAACAAAAACACAATAGTAAAACAACTTAAAATAGAGAAATAATGCATACAATAAAATAAAATGCACATACATAATGACAACAATGCAAACAGAGCAGGAAGGAGGGATCACTGAGGGAATGCCAGATAGAAGGGGAGGAGGAGGAGGAAGAGATTGGATTTATACCCTGCCCTTCACTCAGAATAGTTTACACTTTCCCTTCCCCTCCCCACAACAGACACCCTGTGAGGTAGGTGGGGCTGAGGGAGCTCTGACAGAAACTGCTCTTTTCAAGAACACCTCTGACAGAACTATGGCTTGCCCAAGGTCATCCAGCAGCTGTGAATGGAGGAGTGGGGAATCAAACCCAGTTCTCTCAGATTAGAGTCCGCTCACTTAACCACTATACCAAAATGGCTTACAAACTACACTTAACCACTACACCAAACAAAAAAAGTCTTCATTGACTAGCAGAAGATGGCAGTAGAAGGGGACAAATGGGTCTCTGTGGGGAGAGAGTTCTGGAAGGTCTTGATGATCTTTCCACCAAGGGAATTCACGTGTTGCCAGATCCACTGGTGTTGCAGGGGGATAGAGTGGGGTCAAAATGATCAACAACCTTTGTTCAAGTAAATTAGCTATGACTCCATTATGAATGGTTATACAGCAGCTATTCATATCTCAAATTAAAGATTACATTGTTGCTGTGGGTAGATAGAGCATCTGCTTGATACGCAGAGGGTTCCAGGTTCAATCACTGAACAGGTACTAGGTGATATGAAGCACCTCCACCTGGGAACGTGGAGAGCTGCTGCCAGTCTGAGTAGATAATACTGTCTTTGATGGACCAGTGGTCTGATTTTGTATAAGGCAGCTTCATGTCTTCAATTTTATGCTCTTTCATTAAGGTGTGAATTGATTAAAATAAGTTAAGGTATTAAGTGCAAAAAACCCCTATTAATATGTTTGCTACACATTGAGACAGTGTGATACTTTTATTCCATATTTTAAGTGGGTATCACATAAAAATAGAAAGGATCTTGGTTATATTGTATTTTGACCAGGAACAACATATATATATATAACATATAACAGTGACTTTGTAGCCTTCTATGTCAAATAACAAAATTTGGCACTTATGGTTTTATTTATTTATTTATTATTTGCACTTATATCCCGCCCAGCCCGCGAGCAGGCTCAGAGTGGGTAACATCATTATAATAAATACAATTTCAATTTAAAGCACAATAGAACATTATAACAATTAAAACAATGAGTACAGCTTGAAACAGCATCTGTTAGCTATAACGTTCTGGCCTGATGGTGCAGTGAGTTAAAGGCCAGTTGTCGATGGTCAGTAAATGGACACGTGACAGCAACCTCAGGGAGGCTATATATGGGCGCCCATTGCCTCGCTTAAAAGCCTGGTGGAACCACTCCATCTTGGAGGCCCTGCAGAACTGAAGAAGTGTGAGATTCCGACCTGCCTTATCCGTGTCTTTTAAGCGGTAACGAGGGACGCCGAGAATGGGGTTTCTGGAAACTGCCTCAGACGCAAAAGGTGCCCCCTACAACTGAGAGGGCATTCCTTTTTATCCAGGGAGACTTTGGGTCAGTGTTGTATGCACAGCTGTGCCCTTTTCAGTCTCCACTGAATTCCATCCTCCTCGGCAGGCCTCAGGTTAAACCTTTATTCTCATTTTCACCCTCTCCCTCCCGCTTAAAGGTACACAATCTCCCTTTGGCTTCTATGGGCAGCAGCTTCATCTCTGTTGGGTCCTTGGAGACGCCGGTAACCTCGCACGGCTCTCCTCTGACTGGTGGTCGAGGTTGCCTGTCGTGCTCTCTGGCTCTGCCGATCTCGTTGATTCTCCTCTTCGTCCCCTGGCTCTTCCTCGTCTCCTGGGTGTAGAAGGGCTCTCTGTGTTCCATATCTTCGCATCCTGTATCCTCGGGGCGTTCCTCCTGGATGCCAGCAGGGATATCCTGACCCATAGATCCCGCAGGGCCCTGGTCTCAATAGGGAGCATGTTCCACCAGGCTGGGGCTGGGGCTGGGACAGGGAAAGCCCTGGTCCTGGTTGAGGCAAGATGGGCATCCCTCAGGCCAGGGAGGCCCATCTCATGTGTTGAAGCACTGCACAGTTGTTACATATTTGGAGATGTATTTACAGTGAAAATAATAATAAAATTCTGTTAGTGAAAGCAGGGTCATACCCCTCAAAACTTGTTCAAGATTTCCTGGAAACATGTTTATTCTTGTTACAATTGAATGAATTCTACTGTATGTACAACACTCATTTAAGTCTTTCAAAAGCATTGTGTGTGGTCTGCCAAAATTAGCACAATTGTAGATTTAATTTCTAAATGTTTGTGAATTTCCATGGCCATTATCTCCTATGTGCAAGGACAGCCAGCTGGTTATATTGATTTGTCTATTAGTGAACAGTTCATCCAGAACATTTCATTGTAATATTTTCATGCATACGTCATGTTTTTTGCCGCCAAAATTTCTGAAGAATGTAAAAAAACAAACCCATCTGTTTGTGTGTAAGAAACTATAATGTTTATAATGCACTTTGATAGTTCTGGGTAGGTTTAACAACTCAATGAAAAATCATCTCAACATTCCAATGTGTTATATATTTAACTATTTTAAAAACATATCAACATTAGATATAATATGTGTATATTACGCTAAGTGCCATGTATATGCCGTTCAGGACAGCATTTTTTAAAAAAATTCCCTATGTTTGCATAGACTGTAACTTGTAAAATTGGATCTTCAGCTCAGAGAGACTGTTCTAATCTTCCCCTATGAGCCTGCTGCTGAGTTCATTCTACTGGGGGTAGGACAGGTGAAGGAAGGTACTCTGCTTTCATACACATAAACACATAAGAATCCAAATCCAGTGAAGACAGAGGTCCTGTGCCTGAGCTGCGGTGGACTGAGGGTAGGGATCCCACTCCCAAACTTTGATGGGGCGCCACTAATGCCAGCGCCAGAGGTGAGGAGTTTGGGAGTGCTCCTGGATGCCTCCTTAACAATGGAGGCCCAGGTAGCAGCCGCTGCCGGTTTAGCCTTTTACCATCTTCGGCTGATCAGGCAGTTGGTTCCCTTCCTTGAACGCAGTGACCTTGCAACAGTGATTCACACGATGGTCACCTCAAGATTACATTACTGTTTGGTGTAGTGTTTAAGTTTGGTGTAGTAGTTAAGTGCGCGGACTCTAATCTGGGAAAACCAGGTTTGATTCCCCACTCCTTCACTTGCACCTGGCTGGATGACCTTGGGCAAGCCGTAGTTCTGATAACAGCTGTTCTTGAAAAAGAGCAGTTTCTGTCAAGAGCTCTCTCAGCCCCACCTACCTCACAGGGTGTCTGTTGTGGGGAGGGAAAGGGAGAGGAGTTTGTAAGCCGTTCTGAGACACCTTTGGGTAGTGAAGGGTGCGGTACAAACAATCTCCTCCTCCTCCTTCTTCTGTAACGCTCTCTACTTAGGGCTGCCCTTGACGCAAATCCAGAAGCTGCAGCTAGTGCAAAATGCTGCGGCCAGGTTTTTGATGGGTCTCCCCATGAGGGAACACATCCAGCCTGTCCTGAAGGCATTGCACTGGCTGCCAATAGCATACCGGATTCATTTCAAGGTGCTGGTTCTTACCTTTAAAGCCCTGTATGGCCAGGGTCTGACATACCTGAGGGACCACCTTTCCCCATATATACCCCAGAGAGCACTTCGGTCAGGGTCACAGAAACAATTGGCCCTTCCAGGTCCCAAGGATGCCAGGCTAGCTGTAACCAGGGCCAAAGCTTTTTCGGTGGCGGCTCCATACTGGTGGAATGAGCCTCCCTGGTGAGATCAGGGCCCTGAGGGACCTTTTACAGTTCCGCAGGGCCTGCAAGAGGGATCTCTTCCAACAGGCCTTCGATTAGGAGCCACCACTATCATCTCCATTACTACCATTATCACCATCACCACCACTTCCATCATGGTCAATATTAACTTCTTTGAAAACCAACCTCAACAACTTATTGATAATGGAAACCTGGCACCTGGTCTATTACTTACAGCCTGTGCTCACTGGCTGAAACTGAGAATGACCATCAAGCTGAACGTCTATACAGGAACTATCTTTAATATCATAAATTACCATCTTTAATACTATAAATTAGTCACTAGCACTTTATATGATGTAAGTTGGTTTTAATGAGCTTTATATTATAATAAACTTTATATTTATTGTATTGTGTTTTTATGATGTTATTGTATTGTATTTTTATGATGTTAGCCACCCTGTTAGGGAAATAATACATCCTTGGGTTTCAGTGGCAATGGTTTATTTGGTATAAACCATTCTATGAGACAGTGTGGGGTATATGTAAATGGACAGAAAATATTGAGCATATCCCATTTGAAAATAACTCCAGATCTTTTAAATCTTGATTTCTAATCAAGTTTGAGAAAGGTAATTGTCAGGCACGTTCCACTTTTAGTTCCATTGATTTCAGTGGGAGAAATAAACATGGATCTTCTATGTGGTCTCTGTGCTTCACACCCATGGGATTCAGTGCACACGCGCTGGATCGATCAGTGCTGTAGCAAGCTCTATTTTAACGGATTTTCGCACCCAGTCCCTCCGGACATGCACAGGAACTCCACCACGCATGCCCAGAGGGGTGGGCGTGGACATCCCACCAGTTCCTTTCTTACCGCCGCGTTGGAAAGACCTCTTTCGTCGTCGGTCTGATCGGTTCGCTGATAGCTTTTTGGAAAAAACCTTCTCAGCTCTTGGAAATTCTTTT